TATTTAGTTTAGATTTTCATAGTAAAACTAATTTAAATATTCTGGATAAACAAGAGACGGATCTAACGAACGAGGCGGCGACGCCAAAATTCTTTATTTCTTGCTCATTCCGGTATCCGCGGTCATTAAATTCTAATATGGCATCTGTTATAGTTGCAAGGTAATATGAAATCATGTGACTCCTTCGTGTTGTTAAGATTTTTTTGAGGTTGTTTCTTTTAAAGAATCTATACAAGTATATAAAGCTGAACAATTTGTTTGTTTGAACGCGCTAATGTCAGGAACAACTGGTTCAAATTCAAAAATTATTTATAGGCTATAAAACATCGCACTGTGACTTATAGAAACGAAGGTACAGCGGGAAATGTGAACAAAATGAGAGAAATTTTTCATCACTGTGGGTTCCCGATGCGTACGTTGCGCAAACGGTTCAAGAAACCAAAACAATATGTATCGAAGGATTATTGATGAAATGATCTCCGTGACGCTATATGTCTATCTTTTAAGATTAACTTGCAAGAACGACCCCAACGACGGGACGCCTACGACGGGATACGAATATCGTGGGTAACAGCTGTAATGAGGGGGAAGTTCGGAAAAACAAATTTTGACGCCTAAAATAACTGATATATGCGGACGAAGTCGCTGGCACAGCTAGTATGTATAAAAAAATTCTGTCGGCTCTCAATTCGTTCGCACTTACCACTTTTTTTGACATGATCAAGCATTTATGCTTTTTTTTAGTATTTTAAAAGCCTTAATGGATGAGATTTTGAAAAGGAGAGCATGCTCTGTATTAATTGTATTATTTTTTTCATTCGTGAACATTTTATCGGTTATGTTATTAAAATAACCTTTAAAAAGTATACGATGTTATGCAAACCAGCATTTTTTTCCTGGGTGACACGGTTTTGGTCACGAGTAAGAACGGTGTGACATTTTCCTTTTTTTTATGTGTTACGTCAAATAAAGTCAAGTGATGGAAGATGCATTCCCCAAGCCACATTACAAAAAATCTCAAGAAATGCGCTATTGATCTATTTTTGGTTTTGGGTATATTTTAATGTCTACTATACACTATTTTATTAATAGTAAATAAAGCCCACCAATCCGCACTGGGCCTAACAGTCTCTCTTAGGAGACGTATACTCAGATTTAATTTTCAACATACGTAAACTCTAAATATGGCAATTGTAACGAATACAATTTCTTGAATTACCATTTACTTTTGCAAATAAATTATGCGAAACACCAAGTTAACGTTGATTTCTGTTTCCGCGTCTAGGTTTGGTCTAAAGCATTATACAAAGATGCAAGCCCTTTTATGTTCAAGAAAGTTTAATAAGATGGATAATATGTAAAACGTGTTTCCCTTTATGCATATAAATGTTACTTAGACGCAATATTATTGTGTATCTTAGTCTAGATTTCTTTAAGGCAAATATAGGCATGATTGACGGATTTAGTAGATAAGATATTCAGAATGTATACAACTTGCGTACATAAATCGCCCGGTAGGGAGGATAGGTACACTGTCTTTCGTGAGTTCGAATCTTAATTGTGTCTATGATTTTTTCAGAGTTTAGAATTATTTTTATTTTATAATCTAAAGAAGTAAAATTCGCCATTATTTATCGGTTATACAAGGAATTGTGATTTCTTTATTGCGGTTTTATTTTCACGCAAGGAAGTAATGTAGATGCATTAAACTAAAAGCGAATTAGTCAATGCAGTAACTGATTAGTTAACAAGCCGCAAATGAAAAATTATATTCTCTTATCTTACCGCACTTTGAATATCCATTGTTTGTATACAGTCGACTCCACGCGTGTTCTGATAAGCTTGTCACTGATATTACGTCACTGAACACTATTCACACGGACCACATGTCTTCGCTTCTTCACCGAGTGTTGCCTCTCTCGCCCTCTCCGTGTGGCCGGCGACGTTCGACGCGCCCGTTCCAAGCGGCAAAGCGACTAGAGTCGAACTGAGTGTGTTGCAACAGCCGCCAAGGTTTATATATGGAGTTGCATTTGTTACCGGTTCAAGAGATTTTTCTTAAATTCGCGAATAGCCAAACATGCAAAATCTAAGAATGTTTAATTGTAATCTTTATTCAATCGTGCGCGTTCCGTTGTAATTGCGAAATGTACAAAAACCATGAACGCTGTCTCATTACCATAAATAGTTTTTTATGCAAACAATAGTCGATTTTAATAAAATATGTCGTAAAATTTGTCCAGTATAATGTAATGTTTGCAGACGTATCTCGTAAGTATTGCGCGAGATTGAGACTGAAAGGGGTAAGAAATAAGTTAGTGCAAATGCAGCGGCTAAGTCACGTATGACAAACGGCAGGCCACAGTGACGTACCCCCGTAGGCTGTAGGTACAGTGGTTGTGCAAGAGCGAGCGAGGCCGAGCCGCATTGAATCATACGGGACTCGCCAATTACAATTCACGAGGTGTTACGTCAATAAAAAGGATATGCTGATACGTGAGCCCATTCAAGTTCAATGATTTTATTTATAGCTTAACAGCGCTTTCCTTGTCAACGCCTAAAGACGCACGAGAAAAAGTCGCCTTGAAAAATGTAATCGTAGCGCATGCTCCTCCTGAAAGGAAAATGATTTGCCTGTGATACCCATATCTATTAATGGCACGCAAGTGAAGCCACAAATAAAATCTAGTTTATAAAATATAAGTATGCTGCAAATACTTAATGAGAGTAGCGTCATTTTTATCATTGCATTTTTATTGTCTGCGCTCTTTACTGCAAATGAATTTTACGTTTTAATAGTTTAAACGGAAACAAAGTCACGTTCTCGTGATAACATCCAAAAGCTAATTTGCTAGAAAAAGAAGACACTGCCCGCACGCACACATAACCTTGGCGAAGGTGGTTCTCGCTTAGCCCAAATGAGAGATGATACGACCTGACAATGTAATTGATAGGTGGAATTAATATTTGCTATACCTGTGTAGTGTGTACATTGTACGACGTATTTTTTCTGCTAATTAAGGATTCTCCATTGCAAATATAGTTTTATAGCCGTGAGAAGATATTCTTGTTCCACGGTGTTTCTTCACGGTTACAAAGGTGTATTTAAAGTGATTGAATTCTTTCAGTGACTCCTTACCTAATCCGAGTCACACGCTCAATTGCTGCTCAACCATTTTCCATGATTACTATCTAGTTAGTGCTTGTTAGATGTTGACTTAATTAAGGTCTTGGCGCTTTAACAAAAACTAATCCTTAAATATTTTCATATATAAAAAAAAGTACCTTAAACATCGATTACAAATTGAAAAAAAAAATTACCGTCTCGGGTAGGACTTGACCCCCGATCCACAGCGGTCTGTGCTGTTTCTATACCCAATTAAGCAACCAAGACCGAGAAACTTCATCGTCGAATTTCTTCAACATGCACCTCTCGCGCAATTTTATATAACGCCATTATGAGCAACATGGAAAAATATAACATTATTCAGACTTCCTTCCAAATGTTATTTCTGTCATTTTTATTATCTTGAATTAATTTGAATTATTTTGACGAACGAAAAACATATATAAGCTTTCACAGCGGGTAAATAAATGTATGCGCTATAATCGATGGCAAGTTTCGTTTGCTCTGAACACAGATGTCGATATATTATGCTCATGTACGTCGTCCTTGCGAGGAATGCGAGGTCATCACGATTGGTCTGGCGCTCTTCGGTGGCGATTCTCAAGTAAAACAATTAATTTAAACCGAATCCGTATTCAACACATGCTGCTATGACGCTACAACCCGATCAGCACCTTGTACATGCGGACGGATGCTCCAACAAGATGCTAATTGATTCAGAACTACGTTAAAACCTAGATATGCAAATTAAGAATTGCACGCTATTAAATCCGTTCTTATTTGACGTACGATGTGCACATACCGACTCGATGGGATGATGAAATTGCTAATAATTCACGGAAGTGACCTCCATATAAGAATTCTTAGCCAGACGTATTTTGTTTATCAAATATATTTTGTTATATTCAAATAACTTAAGCGCCGTTATTGAATGCCAAAGCGTAAAAATTCTTGAAATTTATAGCAAATAAGTATTTAATCTACCTACCATAGTAAACATGAGCAATAAACTCGCAAGTACAAAATTAAATCGTTTAACTAAAATTATTTAAAGGTCTTATTTACTTGCGTCATAAAATAAACGAGATTTTACCTCAATAATATCAGATTCCATTATATATATCGTGGAGTTATGAAAATATTCATTTATTTGTGATTGGTGAACTTTTATAAAGGCGTTGTTACTTTAATTGCGATTTATTTTCTCGGCTTTCACGGTAAATGTTCATATCCGTCTACGCAAACAGTGCGATATTTAATCAATTCTTCATATCCTGTTATTATCTTATTATACGCATGAAATTAATTCGATTTTTCGTTGGTCCAATGGTCGCAAAAGCCAATCACGTTAAAAAAATCAATTTATATTTTTTCTGAAAATATTATCTTGCATCATGTAATATAAAAAAATAAGGTATCGAAATCCATTCGGATGTTGAATACAAGTGTCCCTTTTTACTATTACTTACTTAATTACGCTATTTATATTCTGTTAGTGTTTACGGTTGGTACTTTATAATTTTACCTTATGTATACCTGAATTCTTTACTTAGGTACAGTACATTCTAGTTTAATTTGTACTTGAATATTGATGGTAAAAATTTCTGGATTGAAAAGAATGAATTGGAAAGGAGACACTAATGGCCGATCATTTCTGAATATCCAAAGCCAAAATAGGTCGACAGCGCACCTGGTGTAGATGTTATGTGGCTGGGGTTTTTCACCTCCCATTAAGTGAAGGCCATGCTTGTCTATCCTCTATTATAAAGAAAAATATCTACTTGTCTTTAAATGTATGTCGGTCTAAAATATTGTATGTACCTACCTCTATACTTTTTTATAAAGGTTAATAAATGCTGTTTTTTTTATACAGCTGCGCGTTCCTCTCCGTCAAGTACTGCGACCTCGGGATTTGATGGTAGTTATAAGTAAGAAGCACCTGAAGGTGGGCATCAAAGGACAGCCGCTAATCATCGATGGCGAACTCGACGCTGATGTCAAAATTGAGGAGTCCACTTGGTTGCTGCAGGATGGCAGAAATTTACTCATCAATCTGGAGAAGGTTCTACATTGCTTAGATACTTATTGTCACAATTTTTAAAAAATTGACATACTTTTGTGTAGTGTAATTTTAACAAGTGTGGATTTCATATATGTGCAAAGAGGTGGTATTATATGAACGAGTTTTGTCATCATTCAATTATTAGAACTCAAATACAATTTTGAAAAGTTTATTCGTTCCACAATTAACTTCGATATCGACTATTATGGTATTTCGGTATTCACCATTACTCATTGGCAATAACGTTTTGTGTAATAATTTTTGTAGGTCAACAAAATGAATTGGTGGAGTCGTCTCGTCACCACTGACCCAGAAATATCGACAAGAAAGATTAATCCAGGTATACAAACCTACACACTACATCTTTGAATATTAATTAAGAGCAGTTTTCTATGTAAATGTCGCCTTTACTGTCGGCCTCCAAAAAGGGCTATGTCGTGAAATAGGATAAGAGTTATAATAACCATTAGTGTAAGTGAAAGTTTTGATGACTTAACTTTTTATACAGAACCATCAAAGCTGTCCGACTTGGACGGGGAAACAAGAGGTATGGTGGAGAAAATGATGTACGATCAAAGGCAAAAAGAAAGGGGCCTGCCAACAAGCGATGAACAAAAGAAACAAGACGTACTTAAGAAGTGAGTACATATTATGTACTGTCGGTAGTCTTTAGTAATCGTACATTTTGATTGTATTATTATGGTAACTTTTATATTAATTTGGGATTATTAGATTTTGCGGGACTTGATTCCACGACCACGGTGTAGCGTCGTGTTGTCGTCATCGTAGGATTACATTAAGCGCAAGAACGCAAAAAATAGTTTCGGTCGGGAAATATTCGGACTACTTGTAAGTGAAATCGTAATAGCCACAAAACTGTGTCCTCTTCTTATTAAACCGTTAATGTTAATTGATGATCTCATCATTAATTACGGATCATAATTAAAAGGCTCTACATTGCTCGAGGTGTGGCGTAATAAAGATATTACGAGCAAATTGGATCGCCAATTTAAAAGCTTTCATTATTTCTGACGATGATCCTTGATATGATATTTTCCGTATACGTGAAGTGATTGTACTTACAAAAATATCATTTCCTACAGATTTATGGAGCAACACCCTGAGATGGATTTTTCGAAGTGCAAGTTTAACTAGCTGCATTCGACATATGCCTGCCTAAATATTGGAGTTATATAATTAAATGTTCAACACTATGCTGTACTAAGCATTAATAAGAACAATTATATCGTCTATGTATTCTGGCACTCCTGCTGTTTCTCAACAATGTATAATTAAATAAGTTTTAACGGAAAAGGTCAAGCAGTAAAACCTTCATTTTTCGTTCGATTATGTGTGACCTTTTATTGATTTTAGTGCTCTCACTAGGTTAACTTTAATCTATATCTTATTGGATTCGAAGTGCATTGTGTTAAGTTTCGACTCGCCAGGTTAATTATTACAGAAAATAAACCATGAACTGTTAAGAGAACGATATGAGTGGTGTTTTATTTTTCAACTTGATATTTTTTAATGTAATGACATTAAGTAAAGCAAAACGCATCAAACCGTAGTAGGTACCTGCTTAATATGTGTAACATGATACCTTAATAGTAGTATATACTTACTTGCACTCAAAATATTGTACAATATATATTTTTTACTTAAAGTTAGCTTAATTAAAATAAAGAGACCCGTTTAAGAAATTTACATAACTGAACATATTAAAATTATTATGCTAATAATTCAAAATGTTCTATAAAAATGTTGTGCATAATCTGCAAAAACAGTATTGTCTATAACTTAATTCGACGTGTTTGACAAATCATAACTATGTATGTCAATTGTCATAACATAAAATGTCATACTTTCTGTTTATGAATCCTTATTCACAAAAATATAAGTTGATTAAACAATTATTTTTTGTACACTAAGTCTATGTTGAGTTTGAGTGTGCCAATAATTTATAAATATGGTTAGAACAGTCTATTCACCAGAGTATTGTCTGCAATACTTAGAACAGTACGCGTCACAAGAAGTTTATGTTATTGGTTTGATTTTGGGACAGGTGAGTGTATTTAAATGTATTTAAAACTGTCTAAGTTTGTGTAATACATGGTTTGTGTATTTACGTTTTCCTTTGATGTCCTTAAAGGTAACTAACTCACGAGAGAATGTTATCCATCTGGCTCGAACACCTGAGGAAAAGACGGATACGTCGTCAGAAGCCAGCTATACGTCAGAAAAACCCGAGGCTCGTCGAAGCTTGTTAGGGATCTCTGAAACATGGGTTGCCGATCATGCTAAACATGTCACTAGGATGTTACCTGGTGGAATGTTCGTTCAAGGTTTGTTGTTACTGTTCTGCAGACAGAGGGATGTCTACACATAAATAGTTTATTTTATTTAGATATTATCATATATACATATTTAAAATCTATTTAACTCTTATCTATATTTGCAGGTATTTTTATTACAAGCGATGAAGATATCTTTGAAGACCCCAATTTCTATAGTAAAGTTAAATCAGTATTGAACTACACATACAAATCATTGAATGCCAATCAATATATGTGTGGCAATTACCCAGATTCCAATGAGAAATTGATATTACACATGTGCACAAGTACAAAGGTTTTGACTTGCAAGAGTATTGAACTCGGGACAGGTAGTAAAATGTCAATTAAGCCCGTTGATTGGAAGTTCTTGCCGAAACCTCAACAGTGGCAAAGACTGGACTGTTATTATGAATTTGATGATGTCTATCCTGTGGTTGTAAAGAAAAGTGGAATATCTGTGAAACATCAATTTCAGGTAAAGACTGAATTCTAGAATATAATAAAGAAGAAATAATATTTTCTTTTTGTATATTTGACATAAATGAAAAGTTGACACCTATCATGTAGTTTATTCTAGAGGACCTTCTCTAACTTTCAAGGGGAACCTCCCTTTTGCCCACTTCTACTGTTATTTTATTTTTATATTTCATAAAAGAAAATTAACATTATTTTTAAATATCTACAGCAAATTTTGGAATCTGCTCACAAAACCATTGAGTCGAGTGTCATGTTTATTGATGGTGAATTAAAGGATGGATCAGAAGCACTGGAACAATTACATAAAAAGAAAAAACTCAAAAACAGTACAAAGTCCTCTCAAGATGCACCAAAATCGATGCATGTTTCTCTGTTTGTGCCTTTTGTGAGTATTTTTTTTTAATAAAAGTCATTTATTCATTCTATATTTAAATATGATGGAAATTAAAGTTTTATAACAGTCTATTTACAAAAATAAGTTAATATAGTATTGTCTTAATCTTTAGTCTATCTGTGATCAGGGCTCCTGCGAAGCATCCGAAAAGTTAAAAGGACATAGTTGAAAATAAGTTTAACTAATATATATGGTGTTTTTAACTGTTAAGGTGTTTTATTTAAAAAGTTTTGTTTGAGTTGGCTTGGGTTTTGTTGGGTTTTGGTTAATGGATGAAGTCTGAAATTTACTTATCAGTTTGCTTTTTACTATATTTAGCTTATTTTAGCCAATAGGCTATACCTATTATACTTTTTTGTCTGATGAACTATTTTACAGGAAAATTGTTTACCAGAAACAGTGGAGTACCTAGAATGTGATGGAAATATTCACTTTAGTGGAGTTGTAGCGTCCAGTGTCTTTATGTATCCCAAGGCGACAGTCAGTGAAGCTATATCTGCAGTGAAACAAGATATTATTAGATCACTTGCATCTCGATTCACTATGCATTGTGATGCCTTGATTGATGACAATTTGTTACCGGAAGGTTAGTGCATTTTGTATTTTGTTTCAATATCTTACCACAATATGCCAAATATTATTTTTAGACCTTTGATGTTAGGTAGACACTTGTTCTATTACTGATGACTTTTGATTTGGTTTATATAATGATAAGCAATAGATACAGGAGCTTCTCATAAAAGTATCGATAAAATGTTATAATACAAACATATCATAGTGTAACTTTACAATTGATATGTTTTAAAAAATATTTCTCAAACCCGAAAAATTTATGAAATATATAAAAGTCTGTAAATAAAGCTTTTGTTATATATTTCTAGAAAAAGTATGCTTCAATGAGCCTCCACGACGCGTGTTAGTACCAGTTGGATCCCTGTATCTATGTGACTACTTATTTCCTGGAGAGGCCCCAGCTGAAGCTTTGCTATCTGTAAAAGAATTACTTGACCTGCAAATAACTGAAGCTGATGTAGTATGTGATATTGAAACACCAGCAGGTATGTTGTTTTATTGATTACATTATTTGCGGATCTAGTATATATACTGAGAATCATTTTCCATACACATTTTAAATAAACTAATTTAACAGTTTAAAATGAAACTATAACAACTTTGACTCAGCAATATGGATATTTCGACATCTTGGATGTTTTGAATGCCAAGATAATTCGCTACGGCTTTACAAACAAGTATATTTGTTTGATACTTAATAATCATTACTAAATATTACAGATACATCTGAGTTTGACGCATTGGACCGCGACACTAGCAGTGAAGAGCTTCTGGCCACGCCACAAGAAGCCAGCCAGTTTATGTACATAACAGGGATATGTTTTGCAATGCTCGTCCTGATTGTATCAATATTCATACATTACTACGATGGCATCGCAACGTGCCTGGGCAATTTCTTCTCTAGAGCCTAGAATGTATATGAACAAGACTAATTTATTTTGGTTGCAATTAATTTTATTTTATAGAGTTATGTATTTTATGAATATCATGGTACTGAGATTGTGATTATGCTATAATTATGCCCCTGTTTTGTACAGTTTGCTGTGTAATGTTCAATTGAATATGAATAAAATATTTTTTTATATTTCATTGTTGTTTGTGTTAAAACTTTCTTTTGTAATGTTTATTTTTCTCAATATAATTGATTTATTAAATCGATTATTCTGCGCCATCTCTTATGTTATACTGGTAACACATTGATTTACAAATAAGTTATAAGAACAGATAGATGGCAGTCTACACAAATTAATATAATACGACCAAATTCTGTAGGTATGTTCACAAAGCGCTCACGAGCGTTAAGGATTTTATATTTGCGAGACTCTTGACGTTTTTCAATAATTTTAATATTATTTCTACAATGACTTCATAGGTAGTGGTACCGCAGAATGTCGAAATAACTGACAGTTTTGAATAATATTGTTATAGCAACGCTAAGGTTATGTACCACTGAAATAACTTAAGTAATACATACTTTGACAGTTAACATCAAAACTTTAAGTGAATTGTCAAAAAGTTCGAAAACCAGTTACAGTGTAGTTTATTATCAGAGTTTGTTTATCATTAATGTTTCATGGTGGAAGTGACAAAAAAAACGCGAGTTGTTATGAATTAAAATGTTATTATTACTTAATAGTTAATTGTGATTCTTTAAAATGCGATCTCATGTGATACAAACGAAACATATTAGAGATACAGTGTTTAAACTTTAAATATATGACTAATTTGACTGCCTAATAACTGGTTTTAAGTGCGTGAGATAAGAAGTGGAATAAGGATAATATTGAACGATGGCATTCTCTTTAAGTAAACTGAAAAATATTTTAAACAATAACAAAGACAGTCAGTTGACTGGCAGCGGAAGTTTGGAGCCAGAAATAGGGTTTAAACTATCATTGCATCCGATCAGTAAAAATTTATTTGTGACTGTTATCGGCGCTCGGAATCTGCCATCCTTTTTTGGACTCAGTCGCGCCCACGGATACCTTGTTAAGGTAACTTCCTGTTTGAAATTTTGATTGTATTATATTTTAACCGCTTCTATTATAAGTTATAACTGCTGATCCCGCGCTTTCTATACGGACCTGTTACTAACATTCAAAAAAGTAACGTGTATACGATACTTTCTGATACGCTATATAATATTAAATTAAGTAATTTAATAACATAGATAAAGCTTAATTTAAAGTTACTTATCACTTCGAGAAAAAAAGCGATGACTAAATATTCACGAGGATGAAAAAGAGTTTAAGAATTGGGCTTTAATCTGTATCTTTACTTCTATTCCTATTTCTCTGTCAATTATTAGGCTTATCACCATTATTTTGTCTTTAAAGATAATAGCTATAAACATACCTACCTACGTGATGTCGTCACATTAAAAGGAGCATTTGTCTTTGTCTTTGAACAGTGGTACTTAAATAACAATTAGACCAATTTCAAGTACATAAAAATTCATTTAAATTTATTATTGCATTATAAAAATTAAAAGTATATTTTACATTCAAAAATTTTCTCGCCATTTTTTCTCGCCCCTGTCATCCATTTGTTTATTTCTAAAATACCTATATTTTTAATCTTATTTTTTATTTATAATCTAAAGTAGAAAAAAAAATAGATTTTTACACAGCATAAACATGCAACCAAAAATATCGAATGTGCTTTGTAGTCTGTGGGCAAACGAATAAAAAAGTTTAAATGGCACTCTAATATGCTTCTGTCTATAGAATGTCAAATGTTCTTGAGAAATGTGGTTTGATGCGACGACGCGCTGTTGAGTGTCGACCTATTTCGACACTAATTGTTGGTTTGTTGAATTAAATTAATTGCGGAATGTCCAGTACGTGACCTGTCACCTCATGACCCACTATGGTTTTTAAGAATGACACTGGCAAATGAGAAAAACAATTGATATCATTTCAACTACAATATTCATTTTAAAAATAGGTATGATGATAAAAAAGAAGATTTAATATTATGTTCGTCAGTATTATGGATTTTTCGTCGACTTTGAACGCAAGCAAAGCGATTATGTATGATATACATATATAGTTACTATTAAACGCTATAATTACTTTTTAATCAAATAAAAGTGTTTTAATGATAATCAGTCGCAGTTAATTTCAACGTAATTTGTAGATAATACTATAGGTAAAGGAAACAGTTCTGTAATGATAAAAAATGTTTGTAATGAAATAAATAAATACTTAAATGTTATCTGTGTGAAAATACCTAACACATTTTTTAAATGGGCCATTCTATGATTGAATTGAATATATGAATTTTATTTTTTCGTAAGTATTCCGATATTGAATAAAACAATCGATAGCAGAAATGCTGACGGCTTCAACAGCAGCTGCACTGAACTACCTACGTAGATTTTTCAAATCAGATTTATTTGACGAAAACATCTTGTACTAAGGTTACGCTTCCGTACAGATTCTTACCTATATTATATGAATAGAAAAGGTACTTTTAAAATTATTTTTGCTTTCTTCGGCCCCATAATAATGAAATTTATTTTACCGTTAAAACAGGACATATATTATGGTACCTAATTAAGGGAAGTCTATTATTATATTAATTTGGTTTACATATCTTAACAATTTACGAAAAAATACGACACATTGTGCGACGTTAAGTGTCTTCTGTACATAAAAGTAACTAGCGGCCTTGTCCCGGCTTCGCACGGGTAGAAATAAATAAGTACAGATATTAAAATTATAAGCATTCTTATTAAATCGACCATGTATCACTAAATTAGGAAAAAAAATGTATTTCGCGTCCTAGTTGTTTACGACCTTTGTCTATCACGCTGTGTCATGGGATGTTTTTTGTAGATATTAATATATTCTATAATATTGTCGAACATTTTTTTGTCCTATCATTAATACTTTTCGCGGCGTATGCGAAGAAAGACATTTTACGGCAAATTTTTTTACTCCTTCCGTTGGTTTAAGTAAGAATTTCTATATATACTAGATCGAGTACTAAATATAGCCTATGTTACTCAGTGACAACGTAGCTTTCTAATGAAAAAAGATTTATTAAAGTCGGTCCAGTACTTTTTGAGATTACCCGTTACATACAAAAATACAAATCTTTACTCTTTATAATATTAGTATAGATTAATACTTAACTTTGCTTTACCTAAATGCTCACTGTTTAGCAATAAATTCTCTCATTGTAGTACAAAAAGAGTCTCGTTTGTATTATGAGGGAGAGGTGTGTGGGCGCTCGTCACTATCCATAGTGGATTCGAACAAAATAAGGCTTTCAATATGTACTTATACAAATTTATTGCAATTACAATTTGGTAATAATTAAATGAAGTTAATCACACACTACGCGGATGCCAGCGGATCTCTTATTTTGGAACGCAAGGAAGTCGTAGCATGTTGGCACATCCACACGATTCTCCTGTTCCAAATCAAGATTCAAGTCGTCACCAGCCTCAGTTGACAGTTGTCTTGTCAACGTCCTAATGTTGCCATCGCAAAGCAAAATCTTGGCTTGACGTTCTGTTATTTAGTCTCGGACAAATAAATATATGGCTACGACTGTAACTTGGTTTATAACATATTTGCTCGTAAAGTGGATGTAATTACACGAATTTCAATATCGTAATGTTACGTGTTTTTTTTTCTTAGCAAAGAGGTTTTATGTCAAGAAAGTGGTCAATATTTTATGAATTAAATTAACTTTGGGAAATAAAATATAACAAATAAACCTTTAATCCTTTAATTTATTAATTTTGGCAATAAATTACAACCTATATATATAAATCTATAACAAAAACATAAAAATATTAATTTACTTTATTAGTAATACTGGTTGTTTTTGTACCTTTGCCTAAAAAAACGTTGATGCACGCGCATCGCTTATTTGTGGACAAGTAAAAACTTTTATAACTGCTTTAACAATTAATTAAAGATTTATTCGTTTAACTAATTTCCTTGTAAATATGTTATAAAACGTCGTATGACATACGTGCGCTTTGAAAATTACTGCCTCTGTTTTCTTATAGTAATATCGCCTCGGCTGTATTTTTCAACTTACCGCACTTATATCATTATGTACAACTGTCTTAATTAGACGTTGTCAATCCTAAATTAATCGTACGTACGTTACGTTATATACAAATGTATATCTACATGATATGTGTTGTGTCAATATTTTTTTCGCCAAGATTCTAAAAAATAGGCCCTTTGTGTCTTTTCCTAACAACCTAGCAATTTTAAAGCGTAACTTATCTACTACTATTTCCTTAGTTTACCGTTATACTTGGGGGTAGATTATAGTGACGATATTGAAGTTCCAGTAGACATAAACATTATCAATATCACCCTATTAATATTATTAACCGCGACGGGTCTTCTTGCATATACCACAGAATATGATACCTAGCTTCAACCTTCGTAGGAAGTCAATATAGTATGGAACAGCTCTGTAATAATATACCTTAGTAATATGATGCAACTAGAGGCAGAGTAGCCTAACTGCAATTTTATGACTGGACTTTTTTATATAAAAACTAGCTGACCTGGCAAACGTTGTTTTGATATAAAAATAAGGGTTGATCGTAGAGGCGTGAAAATTTAGGGTTGTATGTATTTTTTAATGCCTCATTAGAAAAAAAATATTAAGGCTGAACAATCCTTATCACTTAGTGGGCTGAAAAATAGATGTTGTCCTATTCTCATACCTACTGAATACACATATGAAATTTGGTGAAAATTGGTAATGCCGTTTCGGAGGAGTACCTACGGTAACTAACACTGTGACAGGCACAGTGTTAGTTACAATACAACAAAAGTTAAAAATCATTTTCAAATAAGTTTAACTAATATATCGCGTTTTAAACCGTTAAAGTGTTTTTTTTAAATGTCTTAATTATTCAATTTATATTTTCACTGAAACATATAAGGACTACGTCTGGAAATCTGCATATTAAATGGTTGGTAAGAATATATTAATTCCTTCCGAGTCACGAACCATCGTCCACAAATGAAAAATCCGTCAAGCTTAATCGCGTTACGGTTTCATCTCGTATCGTAGTATATGCTTACAAACTTACATTACTACTTATAAATAACAGAAACACTAAACAAACGCGACTTAATTAATCGTGTGGGCGAGAATATTAATTATTCCTTGAGCCACTATAACGCCAGTAATAATTCACTATCGGCGAATAATTATTGAGCTTCTGATATGTTAATTTAATTATCGTTCAGATAACATTGTAGGTTGTAACCACTTCACGCGAACGAGCCAATTTTTATAGCAACGCTATTTTCTACCGATTTTCAAAATGTTAATTAGATATCGAGTTGGTAGTTAAATACAAATTTGTATACTGTCTGAAGTTTACGCGAGTAGTGCACATTTAAATAAAACACTTTAACTGTTTAAAACGCGATATATATTAGTTAAAAGTTATGCTCGAATGCTTTGCGGCAACCGTGGTCCGCATCGAAGTCAAACGTCATTTTCAAATAAGTTTACCTAAATTATCGAGTTTTAAACCGTAAAAGTCTTTTTTCTTAAATAAACACAAATGTACTACAAATCTTGTAACACAGTTTGAAAAAGGTTTTTGTTTAGATATGGTTAGAAATGCATTAATTGCGCCTCCACGCTTATATACTCGTATACCACTACAAGCATTACGAAACAAGTAATATTAAATAAAAGCATAACTTTTTGTAATTTCTATTTGGTATCTTCAGTATTCTCTGTTCTAACAGAACACTTTTCACATGACCGCTGCTGCTGTAGAGCAGCTGAAACGTCAGATCGTACCTAAATAAAAAAAATTAACTAACATATTCTATCACCTTTCAAACAGTTGAAAGTATTTATTTAATATGTATATTGTAATTGTCTTCTCGTTTGATTTAGTTATGTTTAATCGTTCATGAATTTTTTTAAAATATTTTATTATTCATATGTATTTTACCTAAAACTCTAAAAAATTACGTTTTTTGTTTATTGCAGGTGAAAGTTTTTCCGGGCGAGAGTAAATATGAAACGTGCCTCCAAGAGAGCTCATCTCCAGTTTGGAATGAGGATTTCAAGTTCCAGCTTAAGCCGAAGGACGTTAAGAAAACAAATGACAAAATCGACCTACAGAGCCAGGTGGCCGGCCATTTCTTATCATTGACAATATACGCGTTGCTAGAGTCTCCGAGAACAGATTCAGACAAGCGAAAGAGCTCCAAAACTTTAGACGCGAAGACAACTATGAACGCAATGAACGAAGAGCCTAAGTCCAAATCTAGTCTCCTATCGTCGTTCAGTAGTTTCAAATCTTCGAAAGCGGAGGCAGCAGTCCAAAAGTCGGTTCTGGAAAAGCGAAGAACAGTCGGCGCGGCCACCTGGAATTTCGACTCTAAATTATTCCAGAACGATTTGAAAAATGGATTAATTGGAACGCCAGATATTTGGAGACCTATTAATGCTATTGCGAGCGGACTTAATAGCACGGATACGAGGGTAGGTTAAAGGTTTATTAAAAACCCCCCCTTGACTTGACACATAATTTTGTTACGCTTTTTTATCTATTTGTTTATTGATTAGTGGAGCAAAAAGATGATGGCGATGTATTTTTTGCAATGAATTACACCTGTGGAGCATAAGGCGGATATATTTGTGTCCGTTTTACTGATGGAGTTTATTGAAAGAGGCACAAGAGTGTGGTTCACCAAGTCAGACTTATGTTTTTGTCATATATTACCAAAAACCCCATCACAATTGACATGTAGCGGTTTCTTAAGCTTTTAGATTTTTCAAATTTAAAATAAAAGCGGTCTATCCTGTTTCCCCTTTATTATGTAACGTTTTACTTTTTAAACATTAATTTTAAATTGATTTATAGTAAAGACTTCGATCTATTTAAACACAAATAAACGCATTAATTTAATATAATGATCAATGTACTCAACACAATGGCTTTCAAATCCTTGAGGTTCAACTAAGATTCCAGGATTGAGAACATCTTGTTTGTCACTCAATCAATGGCCAGTCAATAGGGCTTAGTAGGACCCCTTAGTGATTCAATTCGTTATTGATTATTTGACCTTACCCGTAAAAAAGAAGCACTTACCTTCGATTGATACGGAATAATAAATTCAATCTTAAGAAGAAAAATCAGAATTCTTCAAGTTAAACCTGGGTAGGATTTACTAAAGCTTTACAAAGAGCAAGATTACGATTGAAAAACAAAGATAGGATAAGTATTAAGTAGGTACGGATGAGGCAAAAAAGATTTATGTTACTTAGTTACTTTCCAATCTTTTTCTAATTCGCTCCACGTTTTTCAAAACGAAACCATATATTTACGTTATAATGTTACTTGTTCAAATTGACAACATGTTGTCATCATAATAGCCGAGTTGGTAAATATTCTAATAAACTCTCTTTGTCGCGATATAAATAACATGAAGTAATCTTCTTAGGGAGTTGCCTCGAGAGTCGACATAATTGCTTCGGTTAGAAAGGGCACAAAAGATAAATAAAAAGTGGATTACTAAAATGGACACAAAACATTTTAATGTAACATAAAAACGTTCCTAATATGAAAAGTAATATATATCACAAATATCTAATAAAAAAAAAACGATTTTTGTTGTTTAAATAACGAAAACTTAGGTTGAAAACAAGATGTATCAGTTAAACTTATTTAAACCGGCGTGTCGGGTTCCGTGCGTTGCTACCGACTTTTTGTTGATGCTTTGCAAGCCTGTGTTCACGGGGAGACTAAAGTGGAGGAACTGTCTCTGACGTCAAAGTAAAAAATTGCTTTTTACTAGTCTGTAAGAGTTGTTATCTTAATTTTAATTATCATGCTAGACTGTTGTTTACGTTTCCAAAATAAATAAACATCGATCACTTGCCCCGCATTGGAAAACATGAAAAAATGCGAGTTCTAAGTAATCCCAGAGACTATTGTATTAATAGGCAGTAAAACGTAACGTTACCTCAAGCGCAAAGGCAATTAAAATTCAATTAATAAGCGCTGTATGAGTCAGCGATGAATTAGGAGCTATTGAGAGTTTTAAATAGTCGTTCTTACGTACAATAGAATAGTTTCGACCTCGAACGGGCCCAGAGGCTAGTACATCTTGTTATATTGACATGACGTAATATCAAACAACCTTGTGAATCTTTTTTTAAAGATTTATTAGTTTTATCGCAATTATGCAATTACGTCTCGACGCGACGACCAAGAATGTCTGCGTCATCACTCAGTGGATTCGCGAAAAATATACTTCTTATTGACTAATTACGAGAAATTATTATATATAACAACTATACTATATATAATTCATATGTGGTATATTTTACGCGATTTATTATTTTGTGTTTAAAAAGTTATTTGGCCTTACACATATTTACCCAAATGTATATGTAATATTTTTTGTCAACACGCAAATAATAACAAAGCGATACGATAAAGGAAATCCCGTTTCCCCTACGTGGGGCGTAAGACACATTTTCGCGTTAGCAAAATCGTGTCCAGGGATTCAAAGCTAGGACCTCTCGCGCTAATGCATTATTATGACCTAAATCACGCTTTTATAACTTACTAGCGACCCGCGTCGGCTTCGCTCGGGTGCAATGCTGATTCTAAATATACTACAAAAAAACTGAACGTTGTATATTAAAATCTATTAAAAAAACCGTTCAAAATCAAAATCCGTTGCGTAATTTTAAAGAATTTTTTCTGCCCCAATGTACGCTACATTCGGACAGAAATAGCGACGATGTTTTATATATGTAGTGATAAATGTCATATTAATTATTTTCTAGTTTACGCGAATACTACACATTTCAAAAAAATATTTAAGTAACGTTTAAAGTATACATCTTAACTACGGGCCTACGCTTCGGATGTTTGAAGCACCCGTGACTCCGCTGAAATTCGAATCCATTTGCAGCCAAATGCTTCTTTCAAATCATCACTTTGCTGCTAATAATCGTAGTTCCTATCATTTGAAATGCTTCTACCAAACATGACACAATATTTAGGCACGAGTTTTTATTGCCAATTAAAATTTTTCGGCACATTCGCTTACGCGGGCAATATTTCACGTGGCGCATTTAATTCAATGATTGCCTCAATTTAAATAATAAAGTGATTTATGAAGTAGGCACTTGGTAATTGTCATTTGCATCATAGCGCAATAATTTTATGTCATAATTATTTCATTTCAAAATTTAAAAAAAATAATATCACAAATTTTCTATTGGGAGCGTGGAATAGATTAGATTTCATGGAGAACGAATATGAAGGAGAATTTTATAATACTGGTATTTGTTTTCTATTAAAATATTTCATTCATATTAGTTAGTGCATATCGCTTAATTGAATTTCTACAGCTAAGTAGCATATTTTATTCGAAATGACTGCAATAGTTTTAAACCTATTTTAACTTGTAATATCTGATTAAACTTAAAATTATTGCTGAAGTATTATATGTAGTTTACGCGAGACGTACGCATTTTAATAATACTCCTTTAACGGTTTAAAATGACAAATATATAAGTTAACTTATTATTTATTTAATTTAATTTTGGACCGACGCGGGCGTTTCGGCTGGTGAAATCATATATTTCGCGTTTTAAATCGTTACAATGGTTTTATTTAAATTAGTTTGGGTAATTATCACCGTTATGCTATTACTGCGATATCCACACGAATATTAATAAACATATTGGTAGTCACGTGTCATAGATTGAAAAGCAATTATTGATATACCTTTTTTATTAGATTTGAACTACTTGAGAAAACGTATATAAATCTTATAAATATTAAAATCAGTTCGTATTAACCCTTTCAAGCTAAAGTGAAATATTTATCCCTTCTACAAAAATCGTTATCGATTAATTAATTATTATTGAATCGTTTTTTTATGAATATCTAAATAAAACGTATAGAATTATAGAAAATCTGTAAACCATGCTCTGTTTTTCTAATATATGACTCTACCCCAAAAATAGCTAAAGTACTGTGTTGTATTCACATTTAGTGTCAGCCATCTTGGTTCCTGTAAGGGTTAACGGTTAACAGCTGGGTCGTAATTTATTGAATTAAACCGACTGCGAATAGAAGATTGATCGGTCTCGCGTTTCCTTCCGCCGTAGCTCCTATTGCCAATACAATTGTCACTTGTCACTCACACGCCATTACTACTATATCGCATAACTATGTTGCAATCTCTACATCTCAATCCATTACATTCAGAAATCAATCTGATATTTCGATCCATACAGTTGTCAAACGATGGATGGAATTTCCCAGTTTCTTCAAAACTTCCCTCAGTCTATTCGCTTCTACTGGTTCCGCATCCTCATGTTTTATGCCCTAAAGCCTTCCTTGATAAATGGTCAAGTAGTTTCTAAGGTTAGCACGCTCAGACAAACAAACTCGTCAGCTTCTTTATACTAGTATAGATAAACCTTAAGGTAGGTATAACAATTATTTAGCTTATGAATAAATCATTTTTAAAACTTAAAAAACGGGGAAAACCACCCCCCTGTGACCACGGCTGCTGAAAAGCATTCGAAACGACTTGTGGTTAAATTGAATTAAAAATAAGTTAACTAATATAATTCGCGTTTTAAATCGTTAAACGTGTTTTATTTAAATGTGTGAGTATAGCAAAGTATTTAGCTTTTGTATGTAAGTCTATAGTCGTAACATAAAACATTGTTTTTTATCTTTGGCATATGTACTTAAGTAGGTACTACACGTGTAGACACGTTGTACCTACGAAGTATAGAACATACATACTACTACAAAATATTTACATAAATATATTATGATGAAACATAATTTCACACATGTCATTGCTCATGATAGCTATGAATAAATAAAAAATCTATTTCCGATCGAGAAAATACGACTAAGACGAGTGTGACGGTAGCTCAGTGGAACAATAATTCCGTGAGTTCGAGGCCCGAACGTGCAATCAATTTTTTTAAAGGTAAAATATATTTTTAAATTAATAAAGTATTGCTCACATCATACATTTAATATTAAACTAATTAAACATAAAAAATGTTGATTCTGAACTAAAAATATAGAAAAACCGATAGTATTTTTCGTCATATTATTATCAGATTCGCTCCGCGTATATAACATGGTAAAATATTTCTTGAACACACATTAGGTATAATATTTTATTTACACTTTTGGGAACAACCGATTATTTATATAAGGTATATACAAATACTGTCTATAGTTTACGCGAGTAGTACACATTTAAATAAAACACTAACGGTTTAAAACGCGATATATTGGTTAAACTTATTTGAAAATGATTTTTAACTTCGGCCCGGCTTTGCAGCAGCCGTGGTCTCCCAGTGACCACGGCTGCTGCAAAGCATCCGAAGCGTCGGGCCGAAGTTAAAAATCACAGGTATATACATACAAGACTATAAGATAAGAATTACGAATTTTAATAAGTCACATCACGTTTTATTCAAAGATGGTTATGAAGGCACGTCGCAAAAACGAGCAACTTACCTTTAAATAAAATTAGTCACTGAAACAGACAAATTCCAAGTTTCACGTAAGGGAAACAGGGTATTACTTTTATGGCGTTTTTACAATTGTACGGAAGTGTTGTGTTAAATGCTATGGGTTCAAATAATAAAAAAAATGGTTTCGGTCGGGCCGGGCACAGAAATCTAATCACAGGTCTGTAATATTGACAAGTAACACACACAAATGTGCTACGGAATATCACTTACATTAGTTACGTTTAGTTTTTTATTTGAAACTACTTATATGCATATCATTGTTTTTCGGGCCGTTCGGCCGACGTACGCGGGAAGAGGTTCTCGACGTTTTGCCGTCACGAGCGGACATCATCAGGAGATGTTAGCTCATCGATTGCTCGAAGAATGATGGTCGTGAAAACTTGACTATTTACTACTTATATATGTTTCAGAGAGAAAATAGAAAGGGTCAGCTGGAAGTGACCCTACTCTACTCGGGCAGCGAAGATGGCTTTAATGATACGATACAGCTGACTGTGAACAGATTGAGGTGTAGCGTACAAACTATGCAGGAACAGGAACAATTTAAAGGTACATAACGTACAATTTTAACCTCTAACTACCCTATTTAGGATAAGATATGGTAATAAGTCCCTGCTAATTACCTTATCTTAGTGAAAGCACAAGATTCCGTAGATATATATTATTTAATTAAAACGTTCGTTAAATTAACCTGTAATTTGTATAATATAAGATTCATCTTATGTTGATACAATTCTAACAAATAATTGTTAAAAATGCATCAATTTCGACCAAATTCGATTAACACAATGACGGCACTTGTGAATAAATTTTAAAAGGTAAACTGTCGCGGACGTTTTAATTTCTATTTAAAATAGGAATCATTATTCCATACATAATTTTTGGTTTTGCGCCGTTTTCGCATCGCACGCCCGGAAGCCCTTAAAGACTCGCTTTTCCTTATTTCTCCTGTTGGTCTCAGCGTAATATTATATAATCTAAACCCAAAATATACGAGGGCCTTTCCCGATAAATGGTCTATTCAACGATCTTTTCGTAGTTTGTTGTGTGTAAAAACAATGTTTACAGTCACGTCGTCCTAAGCTGGCAAGGTGCTGGGTTCGAATCTGGGGGAAACTTTCACTTAGGGCCGGCAGTGCACATTCGTCGATCAATAAAACATTCACAGAAATTTGTTCCCATGGCCCATATAGGGAAAACATAACTTCACAATCGAGTATAAACTAATCTATACTAATATATAAAGCTGAAGAGTTTGTTTGTTTGAACGCGCTAATCTCAGGAACCACTGGTTCTAATTGAAAAATTATTTTTGTGTTGGATAGAGTATTTATCGACGAGGGGTATAGGCTAACACATTATGATTTCACTAATAGGAGCAAGAAAAGAACGGCAAAAATTACTCATCATTTTGGGTTTTCGAGGCCTACGCTGCAAGAATGGTTCAAGATACACAAAAAAAAATGTATAAAAAATGGTCTAAGAAAAATTCCGCGACACTATATGTCCTAACTTTTAAGATTAACTTGCAAGAACGACGTGACGCGAGCGACATCGTCGGCAAAGTTGATGCTCAAAATAAGAATTCTACGCGGACGAAGTCGCTGACACAGCTAGTTCTATACACAACGCATATCTGTAACGTCTGCTAAGCATTATCAATTTAGATTCGCTGCTACAATTAATTGAACTAGGATCTTGACAGTATGATGTACGGTTATGTTAAACTGTCTATTACATAACAGCGCTTATGTGAGGAAACTGTTGAGACGAATTTAATTCGCGTTTCTACCGTCTTTAGATTCTAAAGCCTTTTTTATTCTAGAGGAAGAGAGACAATCTTGGGGTTCTGATGGAAGGTTCAAAACCCCAGCGAAATAACATCTCTAAATAAGATACGCTATGGACCTATTTTAAACAAAAACACAAACATTTCACGGCTTTTGCGTCTGTGGACGATGGTTTAACGGTGTGTCAGACGTAGTCCAACATGTTTGAAAAATTATAAATTCATTAGACACACGTTAGACCGGGTGGGGAAAATCGCGCGACGGGGTGATTATTAGCCAAATATTGTTACCGTTACACCAACGAGCTCGACAAATGTTGATTAATATTTACTGAGTTTGCATGTACTAAACTGAAGACGGTTGGTCGGACGGAATGTTCTATATTCGCGCGTTCTATATTGGACCCGGTGGAAATCGAACCTACGTCCCATTTATTATTAGTCAGACACTACTGCCACCAACGAGCCTATCGTTACGCTATCCTTCGTGTAACTAAAAAAGGTTTCGTCAAAGTCAAAGCAGACATGCTTAGACTACTTAGTCTAAGCGTCAAGGGTATGGACGTGCATCGGTCATAAGAGGAAATTACACTTAAGCGTGACTTTGATAGTCTCCGATGGAACAATGCGGAGTACTTGCCTCTCAATGACATACAATGATAATAATAATTGCTAATTAAGTTTTTCCACTAGGTATTTGTTTGCAGCTTCTTGTGCATAAGTGATTCGTGAATGCCGCGTTGGACAGAAGTTAGTTTCGAATTCTGGGGAATTAGTAATAAATATAGCTAATGCTACAGTGTCTTACTGTCCAGCACGAAATGTGGATGCCGGTACAAGTTGCTGGTGTCGTATTTTTTTCTATTTATAATATATTTCTAATTTATTTAAAAACATTATAGTTTTCAAATGTTTTAAACGCCACTGACAGCATTGATAAGTTAAAAACATACATACATTTAAACAAAACACTTTAACGGTTTAAAACGCGATATATTAGTTAAAAATCATTTTCAAATAAGTTTAACTAATATATCGCGTTTTAGACCGTTAAAGTGTTTTACTTAAATGTGTACTACTCGCGTAAACTATAGACAGTATTTAACATACATACATTTATATTAGAGAGATTTGAGACTTACACTTGTTTTGCAAAACTGTCAACAATTTAGTTCAAGTTATATTATGTCGTTACAACGGTAACATAAAAAAGAGATAGCCCGTTTCCCCTCGTGGGGCATGGGGCGAACACATTTCTGTGTCCGTTTCACTAATCCGTTCTTTTACAAGCAAGTAGTTGATCAGACTTCTGTGCCCTGCCCTACCGAAACAATTGTATGTTTCCCTGAGTTTTGAACCCAGGACCTCTCACGCTTAACGCAATGCTAGATAATACGATGAACCATTTGGCTACAGAGGCGGTCGCTGTATAAATAGTTTAGTTAGAAAGAAGTCTCTAACATTGTGATTCCCATTGTTTATTTAAGAGAAGAGAGCTCCTAGACGCACGTTGAAATACTAATAAGTGCTTACTTCGTCACTGTACTAGTTACAACGTAATCAAGCCTTAATTTATGCAGATAGCTTTTTGCGTCGTATATACTAACTGACTGCAAATTACTGAATGGGCTAGTAAGGGAGCCTACAGTGTCTAGTGTAGCCAATCAATTATGCTAATAAATATATATTTTCGCATTCTTATTAAAAACTAATCTAATAGTTAATTGCTTGAGTTTAAATACCGTCTGTATTTCACGTGAGTAGTACACATCTAACTAAAACACTTTAACGGTTTAAAACGCGATGTATATTATTTAAACTTATTTGGAAATTATTTAACTATGGCCCGACGTTTTGGAGGCTTCAGCAGCCATGGTCAGTCTCCCCGTGACTATGGCTGGTAAAGAGTTTTATTAAAGTGCTTGAGTTTAGTTAAAAATAATAAAAATTTGGTGTTCACATTCGGCCCTAATATATTTCTAGGTTAAAACTCCCTTTTTAGTTGCTCGATAATCTCCCCTTTTTAACCATAATTTAATGAATAGTAACACACATCATTGTTTATAAAAAATGAAAATTTTATAACACGAGCCGCATTCAAACCAAACAACGTAAGTATATCCCCAGAAACCTCTCCTTAAAGTATACGTTTATCACTTCATTAAACAAAATTATCATGTTTAATGTCGAAATGAATTTGAAGGTTCCATCGTATGTTTACATATACAATAAAAACCTTTTTTGCGAATTTGAATATTATATAACATTCTATACTACTAGCTGAAGAGTTTGTTTGTTTGAACGCGCTTATCTTAAAAGTAATACTGGTTCGAATTAAAAAAATACTTTTGTGTTGAATACACAATTTATCGAGGAAGGCTTTAGGGTACCAATAGAAGCAAATAAACAGAAAATGTGGAAAAAAAAGAATGATTCCTGTTTAAAAGTTCTACAAAATCTACAATAGTATATATTTATCTTTTTAAGTTAACTCGCAAGATAGACGAAACGCGGACCACGTCGTGGCTAGCCTTTAGTTGTATATATTCACGCTTTCATTTTCAGCACCTCTCTACCTGAAAGCGACCATTTTGGAGGCGAACAAGGCTGAATGCTACTGGAAGAGTGACAGATTCGTACCGACAATATCGGCGAGATGGGACCCCAAAGCTGCCACAGTGAAACTAAATGTGTTCAAAGTGAACTTGAACAAAGTCAGTATCTACATCAGCCTAGGGTGCAAGACGAAAATGGCTAAGAAAGAAATCCTCGGCAAAGCCACCATAGACGATAAATCTGCCTACGCTGACAGCTGGTCTGAGGTCTTGAGGCAGCCAGGCGTCCCGAAGACCTTCTGGGTTAATTTTGAGTGATAACTGCACGCTCGGGACCTTTTTGTATAGCGATTTATTATCTGTGCGCAACTATGTATCTTTCGTAATTGTTAGTGATTTGTTCGTGGATTTAACGGGTTGATAAATTACGTATTAAAGCCTAATATTTTAGAACAGAGCGGTCGTTTTAAGAGGTCTGATTTACGCGCTATGATAAACCTATATCCTGGGAAAACTATTTAAGCGCCCTAATCTCAGGAACTTAATAATATGGCTTGAATAAAAAAATGTGTGTTACATAGATCATTTATCGACGAAGGCTTTAAGTTAGATAACATCACGCTGCAGCTACTAGGAGCGAACAAAACATATTTTTCTTTATGTGTAACAAGAAACGAAAACCAATGTTTTTGGTCAGACATTTAATTATAATAACATGAAATTAGAACAGCCAATTTATTTATATTGTACAGAACAGAAACTTTGCTGCATTGTATATATCAGTTGAATTTAACGGTTTAAAACGCGAACTGTATAAGTTAATTTATTCTGAATTACGGCCCGACGTTTGGATAGCTTCCCAGCAGCGCTCATTGGGATATTGTAGTAATCAATATTTATTACTTTCTTAAATTACAGATAGCAGATACAAACTGTATTATATATTTACGAACTTAACATTACTACAAATACGATTTTTTTCAATGTATGGACCTAGTAATTTAACTTTTTACTTACGCCTCTGACTTATTCCATAAATAATACTAACATGTATGTGAAGTATCTTATGTTTATCAGTTCTAATTTATATGTGAAGCACACGAAATCTCTAGAGCACCGTGGAGAATAAATTAAATCTATTATTATAACTAATATAAATAGCCAATTTATATGCACAATTATCATCTTCCGTCCATAATGACAATTAAATATAAGTGTTGTATTAAACAAATTATTTTGAACCATTCAAATTATTATATTAAACTGTTTATTAATTTAATAAAGCTAAAAGCAATTGTTTGATTGGGAATTTTTGGACAAACAATAAATTGTATGGATTATTAATATCTTTATAATTTGTATTGAAATAACTATTACGTGAATAAAACTTTTATTATTTTGTTAAGTTTATTTTCTTTTTTTTTTGTCTGAAATTGTTGTAACACTTAATTATATTTTTATCACTATTTATCTAACTCTGATTTGTGTTTATTTAAAGAATGCCTTTTTAAGAAGTTTGTATATCATAATTTTTTTCTATCGTTTAAGACACGGGGCTGCTAAATATTTGCTTTATATTTAGCAAACTGGCCCGTCTTTGCTTTGCAAAAAGTTTCCAAATTTCCCTTTTTTAAATTTACCTACGTAATATACATTTAATTTATGACTTATCATTGATATACCTAAAATACAACAACGAATTTTGAGTTTTAATAAAGTAAATAACTACGATACAAAAGCAACTTAGTTCGAAGTTCTATAGACAAGTAGGTAGTAGGTCTGGACTGAACTGAACTTTAAATCTTATAGATATAGTTTGAGCTTTGAAGCTCGACCCCAGCTAATCGTGACTGGAAACCGGGATAATTCAATAAACACGTCGTGACTAGCCTTCATAAGCAGATATGTTTGAACCTGTAAGTATTTTTACATTTTACGAGGCATAAAGGGTTTTTAACGAGATAATATTGAAAAATGTCTTTGTTCGTATTCTGTAAATCAAGTCGACGTAATATCTTTGGTGATCGTTCTTCATTATCTTAAATATAAAACTATCTATACTAATATATAAAGCAAAAGAGTTTTTTGTTTGAACGCGCTAATCTCAAGAACCAGAGGTTCGAATTGAATTTTTTGTTCGCGTTACCACCTAAACCGGCAAAGTAACAGTTGGTAATGTGGAAAAAAACGGGGAAAATATTTAATTTTGAGGGTTCCCGTTACGTGCGCAACGAAACGGTTAGTAGGTAGGTGTAGGTTAGTAGGTATTAAAGAATTAGTATAGTAGTAATATAGTATATTATGTCTTATATCTATATATATCTTTTAAGATTAACTTTCAAGAACGATGGGATGCGGACCACGTCGTGGGTAACATTTATAGAGTTGAACAGGAGGTTTGCAAAAACAATTTTCTATGGCCCAAATTCTTTGCAAACAAAGTCACTGACATAGCTAGTATTAATAAAAATATATGGTGTTTAATTACTTTGCTAAGAAAATGAAAACTTCTCAGCTTAGTTAAACTTTCTGACAAATTTAACGCCTGATACTTAAGTATTGTCAATCTTTCTGAAGAACTTAAATCATTTCTTGCTGAAAAGTAAATGTAATTTTATTAAAATAGATGTTTGTTAGATCTTTTCTGAAATGTCGAATATTACTTTTACTATACAATTTTATATTATTCAATTTTTGCGTCATGCTTCCCCCCTTGCCAACAGGTTTTTTTGCCCTAAAATTTCGTGAATATCGTCAGGAGAGACGAGTCAAATATAACGCAACAACTTTTTGGTTAGAGTAATAGTAGATATGTATAATTGTCAACGGGTTCGATTTCCACCAGGTCCATCATCTTTCTACAAAGGATTATAATTTTTCTTAAGCACGCTCAATGGACTTTCTTGGCAATCCAAATCACGAACTGCCGTCTACACATGGAAAGCCGTTAAATATAGCGTTTCGTTAGCCGCCTGTGGATTACTGATCCAATGCAAAAACCAAAGATTTTTCACTTCCCTTCCCTAGAGGGTAGGTACCTCACTTTGTCGCAAAAAAACATGCACCTTAAAGTTAACAAAGCACATGCGCTAAAACTATATCGTCACACAAACGTCACGTGGTATCCTAAAAGAACTCGCGCATAAATCAGGTTATATCAGATTCATTTCGCGATAAAGATTTTATGACACACTTTTCTTAAAATTATTTTTACGTAATCTATATTGCGTATACATATTACGTAATATCTGTACTAATATTATAAAGCTGAAGAGTGTGTTCGTTTGCTTATTTGTTTGTTCGTTCGTTTGAACGCGCTAATGCCAGGAACTGCTGGTTCGCATGGAAAACATAATTTTGTGTTAGTTGGCCCATTTATCGAGGAAGGGTTAAGGCTATCAAACATTTCCAATGTTGCGACATATAGAAAATGTGGAAAAACGGGAAAATGTATTTTCCTTTTAGGGCATCTGTGGCGTGCGAGTATGTATGAAAGAATTATTTTTCTTTAAATGATCTTTACAAATGTCCGCTGAAGTATATGTCTATCTTTAAAGATTAACGATCTTTATAATTATATAGTGCCTTCATGTGCATCATGTAAAAAATAATAGAGTTTTCAAATGTATAAATTCAGTTTTTAGAACAATAACATCAGAAATAGAATTCTTCCGCGGAGTTAAATAAATAAATCGACGTGATGAACGTCGCGAGTTGCACAAGTTCTGATTTCTTGAAGAGTCGACGCCCACGCAATTTAGATAGTGCCTGGAAGTTTACCGCTAATGAGCTTTCGGAGATCATTATTCGCACTTAGTACGAGGCTGCATTTGTAAAGATATTTCGAGCGTCTCTTTGACAATTGACTTTCTCAACTCTTAATTACGGAATTGACAGATGACACTTGCCCCAGTTTGTTCATATTAAGTAGCTATAAAGTTTAAAAATCTCAATAGGTATTATCTGTATCGCTAAGAGAACAAAATTTATTTAATAATAATAGTTATTATTGGCATCAAAATTTGTTTTTGGAAACCTCCTCTATTCTTGCAAGTTAATCTTAAAAAATAGAAATCTAGTGCCACGGTCATTTCTTAGATCATTTAAAGAGAAATCATTCTTTCTAAAATATATTTTGGGTATCATCAACCGTCAATGGAAACCCCCAAAGATGAAATATTTTCCTCTTTTCTACCACAGTTTCCACTGTTTATTCGTTTCTATTGATCGCATCGTCACGATTTATAGCCTAAAGCCTTTCTCGATAAATGCTCTAACCCATACAAAAAGAATTTTCCATATCGAACCAGTAGTTCCTGAGATTAGGACGTTCAGACAAAGAAACATATAGAATATTGTAAACGTATGTGTTCAGTTTTATACGAGGAATCATATCAATTAAGAATTATGAAAACATAAAAAAAATATGATATATAAATAAGGTATTTAAGTTTTTAATAATGTATGAAAACAATACACGACATCGGAAAAGACAAGCGCAGTGCTTAGATATAGATAAGAGCCATATTGATCTAGTGTTATGTGAATTTGACTCCCATTCGTGAAGTTGTAGGGTTCAATCCAAACGTGCATCGATAATATTCATTAGTTTACATTGTGATAAAACATTGAGAAACAATCTGATGTAATACCAATGTTACTAGGTACGCATTACTATTGTTACATGCACCTCTCGCGCAATGTAATGCGTAGGTTGAAAAAAATCGACGATGACGTGTAGCACACGGTAGCTCCATTCGTCAGAACAACAGAACCGATGCCGAATCGTGTTTTTTTTTTCAATTTCATATTGATTTTTAATCTATATCTTTACGAATATATAAAGCTGAAGAGTTTGTTTGTTTGTTTGAACGCGCTAATCTCAGGAACTACCAGTTCTGAAAAAAACTTTTTGTTTAGAGCGTATTATCGAAGATGGCTATAGGCTATATAACATCGCGCTATGAATGCGAATAATAGAAGTGAAAAATAAAACGTGAAAAGTGATCAAAACGGGGGAAATTATCTCTGTGGGTTTCAGTTGCGTACGCTGCGAAAACGGTTCAAGATATAAAAAAAATGTGTAGGAAAGAATGATTCCACTTTAGATTATCTAAAAAAAAGTCCGCGACGCTATATGTCTATCTTTTAATATTAACTTGCAAGAACGACAGAGGACATGATCGACGTCGTGGCTAACAGCTTAAGTTTATAAAGATGACGGGTTTAGCAAAAACTAATTTGTATGCCCAAAATAACGATTCTCGCGGACGAAGTCGCTGGCACAGCTAGTTAAGTCCCACCTATGGGGACATTTA